CAATTTTCGTACAATTATAATACAACTTTACTATAATATCGTAAGTATATTGTATGTCATGTGTTCTTCTTTTTCTTCTTCGAGTTTCAATCTGAAATTCAGCCAAAATCAAGTCTAATCTTCACCGAAACACCATTAAAATTGAGATATAAACTCCAAACAATATTCTCAATTACTTGCAACAACACACAATCCAAACAAATAGTGATTTTTGAAAACACAAATTCGATTTCAAAACTTTAAAACTTTTTAATGGTTGTCAATGGTGGAGAGTCAAACACCTTCAAAATTTATTGATTGACAATTTCAATTTGAACACCAAATTGTGCAACATGAAATGAAATTGCTAAGTTAAAACGATTGAAATCCACTGATGAATTCCATTAAAACTCTATACAACAAAAAAGCATAAAAAATAGAGAACATCAAATAAAGAAAAATTGGGAAAAAAAACAGAAAGGAGAGTAGAGAGACGAAGAGAGAGAGAGAGAGAGAGAGAGAGAGAGAGAGAGAGAGAGAGAGAGAGAGAGAGAGAGAGAGACGGAGAGAGAGAGTGGGCAAGTATAAAAGGATAAGAAAATAACTGATATTCTTTATTCAATTCATAATATAAAGGGATACTCATTAAAAACTTATTTGTATATAATTGGTAAATTGTATATGACCATATAATTAAATTGAAACTTAATTAGGAATGGTAATAAGGTTTCAAATAGTGTATAGGAAGGTAAAAATTCCGATTTATATTTGAAAAATTTACCTCCTATAGCAGGTATACACCCTATTTATTATAAATTAAAATTATTTTAAAATATTATTTTTTATAGCTACCTTTTATATTTTATAGAAAAATAAGTATTTATGGTATATACTACCATTGAGGCATGAAATACGCTATTTATGTTTTTCCTCTCTCTTAGACAGCTGGACATACCTATTTTAAGGTGATTGTCGTTACTGTATTCATGAATACATGGCGCGAATATATGTGAATACATTCGCGTACAGTTGGACTGCCCTGATTTTAGGTGTTTTTTACTACTGTATTCATGAATACAGCAGCACGGATACATGTGAATACATGCGCGTACAGCTGGACTGCACTGATTTTAGAGGATTTTTGTTGCTATATTCATGAATACATGGCACGAATACATGCGAATACATGCGCGTACAACTGGACTGCCCTGATTTTAGACGCTTTTTGCTGATGTATTCATGAATACATGACACGAATACATGTGAATACATGCGCGTACAGCTGGACTACCCTGATTTTTAGGCACTTTTTGTTGTTGTATTCATAAATACAGCAGCGCGAATACAACGAATACACTACCGTAACAACTAAATAGTAGCTATAGGAAGTAATTATGTATATGGTAGCTATAGGAAGTTAATAGCTACTAAACAATAGTGGTTTTCAAAAATTCATCTTTATATTTTGACCCCAATATGAAAAGTTTTTTAAAATTGGGGTATTATCATTTTTAGTCCTAACCAGAAACTATTTACATACGGTAGCCGAGAAAGTATATAAAATTTATATAATTTTGTATATAACATACAAAATGTATATATATATATATATATATATATATATATATATATATNCCTAAAAGAAATAGCCCAGTGCCAGTATTACAAAACTCGCTCGCCGGAATTTTGAAGCACCAAAATTTTTGACAATCACCAAAACTTTTAGCCACAATGTTGAAAAATCTGGTGATCTATTAGGATTTATAACAAAATTCTAACGATCACCATAACTGCTACGAGCTTTAAAATTTTGCCCAACATGCTTTAAAATTTTGTCGACCGAGCTAACATTAAATTCTGGTATGCGTCTTTTTTCCAAGACTTCTATCACCGAGGTTAAAAAATTAATAGTGGCATTGAAGTATCCTATAAAGAAATTTTTACAAAACACGATTGTTTAGTGGTTATTAGCTTGTTATAGCTACCATTTACTAAATTACTTCCTATAGTTATGTTTTCAGTTGTTATAGACTGTATTCGATGTATTTTAGCTACTGTATTCATGAATACAGTAGCAAAACTCGGCGAAAAACAGGGGAGTCCAGCTAAGCAGAGAATGTATTCGACTGTATTCGCGAGCTGTATTCGTGAATGCAGTAACGTAAATGTGCGAAAAATGGTCCTTTCAGCTGTTTAAAAACGGCAAGTGAATCAATTAACGTGATAGACTCCTAATATAACTCAACTAACTCAATTATAACACGCATAATTTGTATTTCCAATTATAGAATATTCTCAGTCGAAAATTACCCCAAAACAGAGCAATCTCTAGAGATTCAATCCTGCCTCTCTTTGTTGCTATCGTTCGTGGAAGTTCTGTTTACTAAATAAACATATGAATACAAACTGCAGTATATATACACTACAATCTGTTGAATACATATGAATACATAATGCTTAATATATAGTGGACTACATACGAATACATACTGTAGATATATTTGAATATATATGAATACAAACTGCAGTATATATACACTACAATTTGCTGAATACATATGAATACATAATGCTTAATATATAGTGGAATACGTATGAATACATGCTGTAGATATATTTGAATACATATATACATCTGATGAATACATTCCATAGTTTACTAAAGGATTATTTTTAGTAAACTGCTGAATACATATTGTATGTATATTTTTGAATACATATGAATACATACTCCAGATATATTTGAATACATATATACATCTGCTGAATACATATGAATACAAACTGCTGAAATTATACTGCTGCACAAAATATTGAAACAAAGTGAAGCTTTGAAATTGTAAATTGCTAAATAAACACTTTGAATACATGCAAATACATGTGTCATTACGTATTTTTGTATATTGTTCTAGCTTCAAATACATGTTGATTCTTTAGGAGATTTCTCAAATTAGGCTTGTTTCGATGTGTCATTGCGTATTTTTATTCTCTTTTCTGCATCTGTATTTGCTGCTGAACCTGAAAATACATGTTCCGCTTGAGTGATTTACAAATTGAAAGATGGCCCTTCGAAATTGAGTGCTTTGGTCGGTATACCTCTGGTAACCCTCTTGTAAGGAGTTGAATCAGCCATTGGAGAAGAAATTTCGAGTTTTCTGTAAAAGCATAACAATGGTAATTATTTCTAAAAAAAACAGTAAAGAGATACAAAAGAATACATGTGCCAGCGAAAATCTAACAAGTTTAACACTTACCACAACTTTTTGGAGCAATCAATTTTGAAATTTGAGAGAAAAAATGGAGATGAATCAGTTGATAATGGTGGTTGTATTCGTGGGGAAGATACTGGGTTGGGAGAGAGATAATGGAGAGAGATTGTGGGTTTAGCAAATTTGTATACTATACGGTGTTATTGTGAGAGAAAGAATAGAAAGTAGGAGAGAGAAAAATATTTTACAGTGTATTTAAAGGCTTAACGGTAGGAAGTGACCATAAATAAATAATTTGCTATAAAACCTAAAAGGTAGCTATAGAAAATAATTTTTTAAAAAGGTATTTATTTATAATAAATAAGATGTAAATGTTTGCTATAAGAGGTAAAATTTCCTATATCATTCCCCAGTATGAGAATAACACTTTGGTCCATTATGAGATACTAATCAATATATGAAGTTCTAAGGGAAAAAGAAAGGAAGAAAAAAGTATCAACATATGAGGTTCTTCCATGAAAATAAAAAATAAAAAATTTCACAGTAGCTAATGCAATGTCCACCGGTTAATGATGTGATGAGGGAAGTTTTTCTTATCTTCGGCGGGCTTTTAAAAAATTTGTTTTTAAGTGGTTATTTGTTGTAAACCAAAGCAGATACAAGAAGTTTGTAATCGCAACGACAAAGGCTTTACCAATGAAACATGCCCCTTTCCAACTTTGTTGCGAGACTTCTAGCCAATTTTCGTGTAATTCAAAGGAAATAATATGCAATGGAGTGAAAAAGAAGCCAATTCGAACTTTTGAATACCTATGTTCAGATTAGCTTGGTCGTTAGAAGTGGGTACAATCCATTTGCACCAGTAGGAGATAAGATTTTCAGCAGGCAATGACATCAAGTTCCATGTGAATATAATTGACGTTGGGTTTTAGGAATATCATTCGATTTTATAATTTTCGTGTCAAAAGAATAAAGAAGTCCTTTATAAGATTGATTTTCAAGGTTTACGAAAGCTTTCTTAGTTATAAATGTATAGTACTGACAATTACTTGAGCTACCTAGAATTAATCTAAGTTCCAAGCAACTAAAATGACCCATCGATAAGTATATTCTTAGTTCGACATCTCCGACCCAGGCGGTCCCCAACCCCTCATCCTAAAGAGCAAAAATAAGTAGTACAGAAAAATGGCGCAAAACATTAGTCTCCACCTTTAAGAATTATGCTGCTTGTTTTTTTATTATCTGGGAACAGCATTTCAATTATCAGCGTAGATATAAGTATACAGCCTTGTAAGCACATTCCCAAGAAAAAATTGATCAGAAGTATACAGCTGATTGGTGACTTCATCACATAAGAGACCTCGAAACAGATTTGCCTGTATGCTCATAAGTAAAAGAAAGAACAGAAAGTTGTCCTTGTTCTATCTAGGTAAAACTAATCGCTGTCATTGTATTGCTTCAGTAAAGCAACTGCCGGCTACCGTATGAAGCAGGCAAAATGAGTTGACGTGAGCTTGTGAATTCTATCTCAACTCGGCTCTACTATCTTCCCATGTTCAATAGCACCAGCAGATGCTATACTACGGAATACTCTCCCCGAAAATGCTGTTACCAACATCAAAACCAGTTAAATAAGCAACTCTATAGGCAACACAATCAATTCAGAGTAGCATTATCAACACTTACTCTGGGGATGCAAAATACTTATTGCAGATTGGTTTTTTTTTCCTTTTAAGGGAGGACCAGGGAAAGGGGAATCAGAGAGAGAGAGGCAATACCAAATACACGGTTGTCATGCAGTCAACACTTGTGAAAGGGCATTTCCAACTTAGATGGAACCTTGGTCCACCTCATCTGAGTTTTCTTCATACATGAATGAACTATCCTCGCTGCCACTACCTTGATCACTACTATAACTGCTCTCTGATGTACTCATGAATGAAGAGCTATTAGATGCAAGACTGCTCAAGTGTGATGAGGAGTTAATTTCGCTATTCACATCACTGTTGTTATGTTGTTCAACATCATTAAAGCTGTGAAAGACGGATAAAGGGAAACAAATAAATGGCACAGGTGGATCACCAATTATTTTCATGTTCAAGTAATGGAAGAACAAACCAACCTGCCTTCCAAAGGAAACTCTGCTAAAACACATAAATCGGGCCTTTCTTCCGACAATCGCGCTATAGGAATAAAGCTGTTTGGCACACACAACCAGAAAGTCAAAAGTCTATCTTCTTAATGATGTTGAAAAGTTAACTAGAAGTTGTACTACCTAGGGCTGTAACATCGACGATACCAGTCACCTTCAGATACCAGGCCCTCTCGATTAGATATATCCTGTGTGAAAGCAGTTCAAGTGAAACCATCAATAAAGAGAACAGGAAACGAAAGGTGCAAATTTCTTAATAAGACTGTTATGAGCAGAAGTTTATACATACAAGATATTTAAGATGCCCAAAATCCCCTGCAAGCACTGCTGCTAATAACCTTGCTACTTCTACCTACAATGCACATAAGTTAGACCACTTCCTTTCTTGACTTACTTCCCCATTTATTTCCTACCAGATATGGGAAACGAGGATGTTCGGGGGAAAGAACACTTACTTCTTTCAAATGCATGCAATCCCTCAAAATCAATACCTGGAGTAAGCCCCCACCCGCACTGCCTCCTAGATTCCTGTAATATGGATGCTATTAGAATAAAAATAGTGCTAAAAAGATCGTAAGTTCATATACAAACTTGAGTCGGAGGGCCTAATGGGAAACCTACTTGAGAAAAGCGCCAGTAATCGAGTAGGATGTTGAAAAGTCAATGTACCTCAATTTACGAAATCCCTACAAAAATAAACAAAACCGAGGATTGTACAATTAGGTTCCCTTGGAAAAGCAACCACTGTAGCAGTGTTGTCAAAGGCGCGCTTAAGCCCTGAAGCGGGGCTCAAAACATGTTGAGCGCTTCGCCTCGCTTTGTGGGCGCTTTAGTGTCGCATGCTCTAAGGCATACTTTTCCTTGCCAATGAGTGTAATCCTGAAAAGGTGACATTAAACAATTGATATTTTGCTTTATCGTAAAAAAAATTTAAATTCTTTGTCCATATATTTGTTATTCATGCTTATAATTATTAGTCTTGGACTACATATACATATTTTTACTTTTTCTCCAGTTGCGCCTTTTTTCATTAAAGCCCGCCCTTTAGTTGCGCTTTGCGCAAAGCCCCAACGAACCTTAGAGCTTTTTTGCGCTTTTCGCCTTTGATAACACTGCACTGTAGTCGCCCAAAATATAACATTTACACGATTGACACATAGCTTGACACACCTCCTAAACTCTAACATAGAGTAGAAAAATCCAACTCGAACAAAGGTGGTCTAACTTAAGAAATTTTCTCGAAGTTACCTGACAAATTATAAGGCTACGGAACATTCAAGTTCCAGTGTGAATAACAACATCAGGGGTAAAATTGCTAACAGCATAGCATTTCAACTTTTTCTTGGCTCAAGTATGTCACAAGCTGAGAGTTTATCAATTAGGCCAAAAGAGAGAAATGACAACAGTATACAGATAAATGCTCAACAGATAGCAATTCTGAGATGATGCTTTAATTCGATGTTGCTTAAGGAGTTCAAAAGAAAGAGTAGGCTAAAAAACCCAATGTGCAGTCTTTTCATACAGCCCCAAAAGGGGAGAGGTTTCTATAGTTCCTTCTTCAGTAAACTAAACTATTTGCAGTCAAGCTAGCTTTGCACCTAGCTAACACAGAGAGATCACTGGAACCAGGTAAATGACTGGATCAACAAGTAGTAGTTCAATGTTACAACCACGAAAAATCAAAATTGGACGGTGTATAATTAAATGAATATGAATAGTGTCAACAAAGGAAAAAATTCCCTCCCTCACTCCCTGCTAAAATAGTTTATCTTGAGTGTGTATCTATATCACTGAAGCCTTATTTCCTATCTAAGAACTTCACTCTATTTTTCTGCATTAGTGATCTGAGTCATTTGTTTGTCTGATCAACAAACTTTTGCAAATGTGGTTATACTAAATCTAGGGGAATCTGTTAAAAATAAAATAGAGTATTCCCTTCCAGGTAGGGGTGGGCATATTTCGGTCCGAACCGAAAAAACCGACCGGACCGAAAATATTTTTATTTCGGTTTCGGTTATTCGGTTTTTTCGGTCGGTTTCGGTTTAAAATTTTAAAATTTCAGTTTTTCGGTTCGGTTTTCGGTTATTAGTTTATTTGGTTCGGTTAACCGAAAAACCGAATTATTAGCAAACCAACAAATTTTCGGTTGGTTTCAGTCTAATTTACCGAAATTTTGAAAGAAAACCAACAAATTCGTCAGTCCAATTATTACATAGAGAGAGCCCAATATGATAATGTTCAAACCGAAAACCGAACCGAATTTCTTAAACCGAACTGAACCAAACTTATTTCAGTTCGGTTTCGGTTACTACTTTTACAAAACCGAAAACCAAATAACCGAACCGAATTTCTTAAAACCGAACCGAACCGACCGAACGCCCACCCCTACTTCCAGGCCGCCGAACACACCAGTCAATGATCTCATCAGTTCAGCCACATGGTCTGGATGAGCCTTGAAACCATAGACAAAGCAAGTATTAAGAAAATTCTTAAAACTTTCCATGTGCGGCTGATTCTAAAATAAACGCTTCCTTTTCTTTACAAATGGCAAATGAAAAAGTACCAAATTTTGAGGAAATTTGATGCATTGATGAAAACAAGCATTATGTTACTGATGGTGCAGATAATCTCAATGCGACCATCTTTGTGTTATAAAGCGTGAAGCTTAAAGTGATAAAGCCGAGCTTGCAAAAACAGTGTTGATGTAGTCTATACAAAAGTAGTAGCTTCACCGTGCAACTTCTAATATAGTTGTCAACTCACCTTAAATTAGCAAGAATCAGCACCATTGACAAATGTCATCCAGATTAAACTCAAAATTCATGTATTGGCTAGTCTAGACTGGTTTCTGGTACGGTGGTACCAACAAAGAAATAGTATAGCATGAGACATTAGCCTTTTATTTTGACAGCGCTAGGTACTTGCTAGAGCTAGAAGCAAGAAAGCTTCAAATAGCTTCACTGCACTAGACTCAAGTTGTATAGTAAGACATGGCTACACACCACGTAATTCCAATTGAACGGCATACAGACCCAAACAAGGCCTTGAAACACTGGATAGAAACGCAAACGAAGATCAATATACTGAAAAGCTTCATTCTCGAAAAAAAGACCTTAACGAGTATGCGAGCTTTATAATCATGCAACTTAAATCCCCTTAGGGCCAATGAAGATAGGCGAGGACAATTGCTCACTAGATCACTGCATGTTGGCAGTTTCAAACTGTCGTCTCGACCTGAATACAAAGGTGGAATATGGAAAAAATTCTTTAAATGGCTATTGAGAAAGCAAAAGAAAAGCAAATAGAAGGATAAAAGAATGCACCTGTTTTTGACGATTCAAAGAATAGACGCTCAATCAGGGGACAAAATTTACTTATAGACTCCAGTGTCTGCCTTAATTCCACATGACTATCAGATGAACAAAACATTTCATGTTATAATCACTGACATTGAAACTAGAGACGAAACTAGAAATGGAGCCATTCGTTCACAAAAAAAAAAATAGAATAAGAATTTATCATGACTGTACTAGAACTTAGTATAAACAAATTATGGTCTTATTGGATCCCCGGTACTATCCATGTTGTTGTCAAAGAATTCAAAGTAAATGATCAACAAAATAAATGAGTTGTGACAGAAGGAACTAAAAAGTAGTGAGTTATTCTATTTTTTTTAATAAAGAAAGTAATGTGCTTTTTACTTGAACAAACCAATGACTTTCAGACGAAGTATTTCAATTACTTGGAATGTACTGTTGATAAGAATGAAAAACACAAACCGGAAACATGTGATATAAAATATGGTGTTTCAGACGAAGTACTTAAATCACTTGGGCTTTGTGTCGTTCACAATAATAACAAACACAAACTGAAAACATGAGGCTATACTTGTGCTGTTCCCACAAAGCAACTAAAAGAGAACTCATGCTGCCACCTATTATTTAACTTCAAATGCTTATCTTGAGTGATTAATAAGACAAAGAAATACCCCACCAAGAACCTGTTCATGAATGCCTTTAGCCTCTCAATGAAAGTCAAAAAACAACAATCAGACATGAAGACACTAAATCCATGGTACTTCTACTTACTTTTCAGCAGTATGCATAGCAATTTTGGACCAAAAAGGAATAAAACAGAAGAAACTATTAATTCCAGTACTTACAGGCCAACAATTTCCAGATCAAGCAAAGATGGGCAGGCTGACAATGCAGCGTTAAGTGCAGTATTGTCCAGTCTTTCGATATTGTACAGGTGCAACCTTCTCAAGCAAGCCCTTAGTTTTCCAAGAAGGCAGAGCGAAGAAGCAACTTAGTACCTCAGCTTTTAATTAATAAATAACCAGATATTATACAGTATTTATATATACAAAATCAGTACATAAAATTACATAACATCGCTTTATCAAGAATGGAGCAATACCCTGGAGTTCCATTATTAGCATTCAGAGGTGCTAGGCAAGACCTTGTAAGAATAGAATACTCTTTGCCCTGCCTGGACCTCTTATCATTCCATGAGAATCCTGCAGCATCTGTAGATTTCCTTATAAAATTAACCATTGGTTGAGAAGACCCCGATGATGAAGCAAGTGGGCCAGGTACACAGCCCAGCTTCAGAGACCTGGATTCAGTAAAGTCAGTGTTTGTCCACCAGTGCAAATACCAATTTATATTCTTTGTATAACAGCCTTTTGAGGTCAAGATGAATAGCATCTCAAGTATTCCACTTTTGTGCACTTAAATCCAATGTTCTTTGAGATATCCGCTTAGAATAAGGTAGTTACCATCCTTTACTCACTCTCTTACATAACATTTACTCATGTAAGACCTAAATCAACATGTTTTCATGGGTCTACTCTGTAGCGCTAAAGTGATAACAGTATTTTTCAGCATATTCAATTCACTATTGTTCTTCGGGGCTCTTATGTGAATTAGTCTTTTAAAAACCAACTGAAAAAAATTTAAAAGGAAGAAGATTGAAGTTATGAAGCAGAGGACGGCAATTCTCTTACTGGAATCCATTTCCAGCACGGTGAACTATTGTTGCCACAACAGCATTATTGACTCTAGGAACCACTGTGATCAAGTCAACATTAGCATAGCATGCAGGGTCTGCGGCACAATTTTTGAAAAAGGAACATGTGATCGCAGCATAACATAAACTTTGGGTGTCAAGCAATGAAAACACCTGCCCAAAAAAAATAACCACCAAAACATTATCTTATTTTTATAAGCACAAATTGCTTCCATCCTCAACTGTAAATTTAGTAATAGCCAATATCTTACCATCAACAATTTTTATCGCCAATTTATTGTAATGCCGTGATAATACAAGTATTCATCGTTCCGCAGATACAGAAAAATATCAAGCAACTCGAACAACCATGCCTCAACCCCAACTACTCTCTATGCATTCTACTCTATATGAACCAATTTATAAAAATCTTCAAGGATAACCAAATATCTGAGTACTTAGTACAACTATCAAGTATCAACAATATAGACCTCAAATTTCAAACAATGAAACAAAAGCACATTTCAAAAGCTATCCTAGTGGCTTACTTTCACTAGGATTAGTAAAGTATGGAAGCCGAACCAGAGCAATCCTATTCGCTGATTGTACATAACTAATAATAAACGGGATTATCAATAAACACCAACTACTGAAAACAAACAGCTCTCAAAATAATTCATCCATTAGGATAAATTCTATACACAAAAAAGAACATGAAATGAATAGGCAAACTACACACATTTCAAACTCCTAGCTCAGAAACAAAAGAATAAAATTTTGGAAAAGGAAAAATAACTAAGCAAAAAACAAGCATTAGCAAAATCAGATTAGTAACTATAAGCTACACATATTTGCAATTTGTAACAATTACGTATATACCAATAATTAAAAGAAGGTATATATGAATAGAACATACTTTTATAGTTAGATCGGAAGGAAGAGCCCAAACGACGGCGTTATGCATGGAATCGCGCGCGCGGGCAGATCGTTTGCCAGCTTCGAGAAGCGCAGATCCTAATCGAAGTGCGCGGTTTATCATATCATTCTGTTCCGAATCGGAAGCTTTAGAACCGAGAAGCCGATTGAAGGAGATGTCAAAGGAGGAATCGGAGAGACCGAGAAACGATTCCAAGAGCACGTCGTGATCGATATAGGAACTGAAACCATTGGAACTGGTGGTGAATTTAGGGTTTAAGCCGGAAGTGGCGGAGCAGCATGGACGTTTCGGGTTCGGGTTCGGTATCTCCATCGCCAGCGCCGGCGACTGGCGGCGGAGAAGAAGAGTATCCATGAAGAGCGCGAGAGATGGGGAGTGGGTCCGGGAAGTGAAGTGGTGAAGAAAATGAGAAATTTGTTATGTACGGATTTAGAAAAGATGTGGGAACACGTGTGAGGTAGAATATGCCGATGTGGAATGGGAATCGCATGCACATGACTTGCCAATTACGTCACTCTTGGCCCTACTCTACTTTTTGAATGTGGTGATGGAATTTCCAGTTCTAATAATTGAGAGAATCGAATATGTTGAAAATAGTATTACGGGGGATGATTAGAGTGTCTTAATTTTTATTTAAATTGTTTGAATTTGAATTTTAGAAATAATTTTTTACTATGGAGTGTTTTCCTACTTCTTAATAAGAGCGAATACATGCTCCTCCGGGTCAACACGTGTGCTTTCCCTGGAATTAATAGTTAGTCTGAGGGTACCTTTATAATTTCATGTTAATGTGTAAAGATGACTTTGTATTGCTAGCCCTACACGTGGTGTTCTTTGTGACTTGTAAATTCTTCTGTGATTTTTTTGCTTCTCAAGTTCTTCCTCTTCTTTTCTTCGCTCTATCGATATTCACTTTTGCCAAAGGTATGTCCTTCTCAACTTTTTGATTTTACTAGCTAATAGTGACATATATTGTTTATTGTTAACTATTGTATATGGCAGATTATCCATAGGATTAATTTTATTTTTAAGTTAATACTGAGATTTTAAATTCAATTTACTTTTGAAATTTTTTGTTTTATGGTTAAATTATTCATGTGTTTTGAGCGCCTATGTTCTCTCTATACTCCACCACTATGACAAGATATCTTTACTGCAAATTTCTTATCTATCTCTGTAAGGTAATTAATTTTCCTTACTTTTTCTTTAGTATGTCTTGAATATCAAAATATTTTTTGGCTATTGAAGGTTTAGTCGGAAAAAAAAAAATTGTTGCTGTCATGATTTGCCTTAATAGCTTTCCGGGTTAGTTTTGTTCGTATTCCATTTTTTCTTTTGGTGTGTTTGATTTTTGTTATTAAACAGTTGATTTAAGTCTAATGCTATGAAGAAATAATTGATATAGGATGAAGTTGAAGGGCAGACTGGAGGAGGATCTTTGACTTGCCTCCTGCTCGATCTGATCTTAATAGCGTTAATTTATTTGTTTGATTGATGTGCAAATGGCTAATTTTTATGAAATTGGTTTCATCCTTGCAATGCTTGGCATTTTACAACTGGATAAATTCTATTTCATGGTATGTGGAAACCACTTAAAATTATTTTGATTTTTATGCCATGGATCACCAAAAAGTTTATTGTCAGATTTGATGCGAACTATAAATCATCTAGGGTGCTAGAGGCCATTATATATGAAATGCATGTCGGCATGGTGGATACAAGAAACTCAAGTACACCGTCAACGAAAAATTGTCAACGAAAAATTGACAGACTAGGATTACGATGTTACACCTCATATTTTTGTACGTGGAAGTATGCTATAAGTAAATCGATGAAAGCTCGGAAATAAGATGTTACATCCCGCATTTTCGTACGTTAAAGTTTCGTCGTAAGTTAATCGGCGTAAGCTCGAGAATGAGATTATTTGAAGGTTATAAGTATTATGCTATTTCAAACAAGTGATAAGTAAATTCGTGAAGGTGAGAGAGTAAGCAAATCGAAGAAAATGAGTTTCGTCGAAGTTTGTCATTTTGAGATAAAATACGGTCCGAGCTATAATACCCGGTATTTATGGACTAGTACCATACAAGGTACCACATGACCATGATAGTAAGGTGTATACAATGTGTTAAAAATAAGTAGTATTTTAAGTAATTTGGGATAATTCTTAATTGTGGGTATAATTGTGATATTAGGTAGGATTACATGGATAAGGATTTTTTTGGGGCTGCCACGTGGCATTAAGCCAAGACAAAGTGTCACCAACGTGAATGATGAGTTATAAGACACAAGTTGCCTTGTTTACACGTAAAAGTCCTTTGGATAACTACCTTGGTTTGGTTCCTTATTTGGTAATGTAATTTAGAAAATAGGAAAAGTTATGGCATGCTTAGAATTAGACCAACAACGTTATGCTAAGCTTGCTAACGATGGAGCCTCAAAATATTTCGTTTGAAATTTCATAACACAATATAGCGTGAGATTTTGCAATTTTAAGGAATACGGTGCAATCTTTTTCAAGAATATCATACGAATTTTTTTCTACTTCGATCCGCCGTTACATGTTGTCACAATTGACGTGTGTTAGAAGGATTGTCAAGAGAATCGGCTCAGGTATGTTAAGGCTATCCCTTCTTTCTTTTTGGCATGATCAATACGATACAAACGAAACGAGCAAATGCACAACTTCCATAAATTCTATTCATAGAAATACTAGGGGTGTCTATATTCTTGATTCCCCATGTGAATTATTATTATATTTTCTGTTCATGGGTCTCAGAAAAATACGTAGTTGATGAAGTTTATCCGAAAGGCATATTGATTTTATGACATTCCGAGAAATCTTATTAACGTATTTCATATGCATTTCATTCATTTATACATGAACATTGACCCATGACCAGATGACGTTATATACGCGTATATTATATGTATATGAAATATGGGAAAATGTTATGGCGTTATATATGCACCACCACCTGATCAGCTGGTATACGTTGATGATTTGCCCACAGTAGCCGAGATGATATAATGGGATGCCCTCCGAGGCTTGACGATGTTATGAACGCATATACCTAATGGTATGACATTTATACGCATATTCATGACATTGTAAATGTTAATGATTCATAGAGTTATTCAGACTTACATGTTGAGTCTTCTACTCCATGTTTCTCTCATGCCTATTATTTACTAATTTTCATTCCTTACATACTCGATACATTATTTGTACTGACGTCCCTTTGCCTGGGGACGTTGCGTTTCATGCCCGCAGGTCACGATAGACAAGTTGAGAGTCCTCCAAGTTGACTATCAGCTCAACGGAAGGTATTGGTGCGCTCCATTTGCTCCGGAGTTGCTTATTTGGTCAGTATGATTTGGATATGTATTAATTGGTATGGCGGGGCCCTGTCCTGACCCTTATGAAAATTATGCACTCTTAGAGGCTTGTAGACAGATGTAATGTATATGAAAGATTGTATGGCTCTATCGACCTATGTTCAGTGTACGAGTAATCATTTTGGTCTTATAGGCCGTATGTCTTATGTATAAGTTGGTATTACATGTTTTATTCTAGTTATCTCACGGCAACCTTTCCGTCTCATTTTCCTATGATAGTATAATACGAAAAGATACGTTAGATTGGTACTCGGTTAAATAAGGTATCGGGTATCCGTTACGGCCCATCGGTTTGGGTCGTTACATAAGATTTGTATATTAATATGATGGTGTCTCTGACACTACCTTGGCTACGTTTTTGAAGTGTATTAGTGGCTTCAACTTGCTACACCTTTAGCTTTGATATATACTCATTTTAACATTTTTTCACTCTTTTTTTATTAGTACCTTTCTTCTCTTTTACTTTTTACATACAAAATATACACATCAGCAAAGCAATTGTTAACAAATAACTTGTGAGAAGAAAGTTAGTAAGGTCATTAAAAAAACAATTAACTTTTAGAATAAAAAAGACTTCATAAGGTTTTTGAAACATAACCCTTCTAGGATGTTAAGCACGTACGAATGATCAAATAGAACATGTAACTGTAATTGGAGAGGTTCAATATTTTATTGGGTACTTTGGAATTAATTTGGATTATGGCTTGAAAAATTGGACAAGGAAGAGAAGTAGAGAAGACAGAGACACACACAGGAAAAGGGGAAGAGATGGTGTGTGACGAAATTGCTAGAGATGGATGTTGCTAATGCTCTTTAGCTAGATTGGCATCTGGATATATATGTTGGAGCATTTGAAAATACTAGATCTATCTAACAGATTTCTAATCTGTTTATACTCTGAAGTTTGAAAATCTCATAAACTGCATGATAACAACGAAAAAATCTGAATATAAATCTTAGAGAATTTGGTGGCATGACAATGTTAATGATGTAGGAGATAAGTTTCACTGGTTATTATGACGACTACTACAATAACAATTAATCTAGCTAACAGGTTCAATGTTCTTGAATTGTTTCTAAACAAGAGTACAAAAAGGAGTGATGTATTTAGAAATTAGAAATTTTGTGTTATATAAAAACGTGAATTTAACTGCAATATAGTGTCAAACATAGCTTGTCTTGTATTCTAAGCAAATGTTGTTTGGCTTGATGTAGATGTTAGTTGCTTACAATCGCATCCGCATATGCCAACATGCTTCAGGGATTCAACCTTTTTTTTGGGTTTCAATTAAGCTCATTTTTTATTTACTTTTACAACATGACTTTACTGAACAATAATCTTTTCGTAATTTAGGTGGACAATTAATCATTTGAGGATGTACTTGCTCTCTACCAAGCAAAGTATGTTTGTAGGCTTCTCTTATGTTTGTACTTTAGATTGAATGTCAATTTAACTGAAAAACAACCAACTTTGATCTTTCGTCGCAAAGGTTAATTGGCTAATATACATGTTTAGTAGCTTATGGTGGCATCTATAGATACGAACATACTTCATTTAATTATTCTCCTTCTTCTGAAGATATGTTTTCTTGAGTTACAAGCCTGAGCTACGGCCAGTTGGAGACATAAATATAATATTATGAGATTCACTATTGGTATGTAAATACTGCCCATTTTACTATTTTTGGAAAAGATAAATAAAAACCATTATTGTATAAAAAGATTAAAATAATTGCTTGGTTTATTTAGTGATCTATATTTTCTTTCGTTTTTTCATCAGAAACAGTCTCTCTACCCTCCCAGGGTAGGGGTAAGGTTGCGTACATCCTACCCTCCCCAGAGTCCACTTGTGAGATTTTCACTGGGTTGTTTTCATTGATTTGTGGGTTTGGCGGGATTTGGGTCTGCTGGTCTGATTTGTGCATCATTTTAGGATTCTCTATTGACGTTTTCTGTTTGGGACATGTCTAAATAGTTAGGTTCTCCAAAAATTAGTGCATTTAGAGGCATCAGAAATAGGTCACCAATGCTATGCAGAAACAA